CTCTTTGAAGAGGCAGGCAGCTGGCTGAGGGCAAGCTTGGTGAAGGCTTGGAAAGCCAACCCCTGCCAGAGAGCAATATGCCAAGGAACTAGGAAAGAAGGCACACACCCATGTCCCCATCACTCTAGTACCTCAGAACCCCCTTGGGGTTCTCTTCAGTTCTCCCTCCCACCCTCCCCAGACCGCAGGTAACCACTTTCCTGACTCTTTTCTTCATAGTTTTACTGCTTATGTATGATCTCTAAAAAATATATTGTGCAGTTTTGAGAAAGTGAGTAGCCAGCACAAACCCAGTTGCAAAGAAGGGGCAACATGGTCCAGTAGACAGAAGTCCCAGGAGAAGGTCAAACAAGGCAGAGTGTCTGCATCGGAGGCTGGCTTCAGCTTTCATGAGTGTCTACCAGGCCACTCTAAGGCTGTGGGTGGGCAAAGCCACAAAGGAGGCTCTGGATACAAGGGTTCAGGGCAGTGGAACATCCAGCAGATGTTGTGGTATAGACCTGTACAGCTTCTTGGGAAGGGGTACATGGCAGGTGTTTTTGTATTGTTTTAAACTCCTTTTGGACTCTAGTTTTTTTTCTTTTTCCATCTTTGTGCTAAAATAAACATAAAATTTACCATCTTAATCATAAGTGGTGTTAAGTACACTCATTCTCCTTGTTTCCCTCATCTATCTCTATAACTTTTTACTCTTCCCACTAAACAACTCGCTATTCTGTCCTTCCCCAACCCCTGGCAACTCCATGCTACTTTCTATCTTTAAGAATTTGACTTCTGTAAGGTACCTCATATAAGTGGAATAATATATTGTCTTATTTTGCCTGACTTTTTTCACTTAGTATAATATCCTCAAGGTTCATCCATGTTGTAGCATGCATTAGAATTTACTTCTTGTTTAAGAATGAATATTCCACTGTGTGTATGTGTGTGTGTGTGTGTGTATACACACCATATTTTGTTTATCCACTTAGGTTGCTTCTACTTTGAATAACAATGCTTTAAACATCAGTGTACAATCTCTTTGGGACCTTGTTTTCATTCTTTCTGGTATATACTCAGAAGAGAAATTGCTGGATCATATGGTAATCTGTTAAATATATTTGATGAACAGCCATACTGTTTTCCATAGTGGCTGCACCATTTTACATTCCAAATAGCAATGCACAAGGGTTCCAGTTTCTCTACATCCTTGCCAATGCTTTTCTTTTCTTTATTTTTTATAGTAGCCATTCATGTAGAGTGGTATCTCATTGCGGTTTTGATTCACATTTGTCTGCTAATTACTGATGTTGAGCATCTTATCATGTGTTTATTGGCCATTTGTACATCCTCCTTGGAGAACTGTCTATTCAAGTCTTTTGCCTATTTGAAAAATTGGATTTTCTTGTTGAGTTGTAGACCCCCTATCAGATAAATGATTTGCCAGTATTTTCTCCTAATCCATGTTTGCCTTTTCACTGTTGTGTCTTTTGACGAACACTTAAAATTTCGATTTGATCTAATTGACTTATTTTCTTTTGTTGCCTCCGCTTTTGTGTCATATCCCAGAAATCACTGCCGAATCCAACACCGTGAAGAATTTCCCCAATGTATTTTCTAAGGATCTTATAGTTAAATTTCTTAAGTTTAGGTCTTCGATCCTTTAATTTTTGTGTATGATGTAAGATAAGGGACCAACCTTTTGTTTTCTTTTTTTCTCCCAGCATCATCTTTTTGGAAAGACTATCCTTTTCCCATTGAATGATTTTGGCACCTTATCAAAAAAAGGGGGGGTTATCTCCATCCTCTCTATTCTCCATAGTTTTATGTGTCTGTTTTATTCTCAATGGTTCTTAATAACTGAGAAATATACATGGTGTCTTTATCCTTGATCATCCATTTAACCTTTATCAAATAAATATTAGTGTTTCTCTCCCATTCCTTCTCTCCCTGCTTCTTCCACCTCCTCACATCACTATTCAGCTTCAAAACTGTAATGACCATTGTAATGACCATTTCATTAGATGACAAATATCTGTAATTCCAAACTTTAAAATTTAAACATCAACATACTTCTTCCATTGGCCCTGGTATCAGTTTGTACATTTATTGGACCTGTTTCCTGGGTCATTTGCTTCATTCCTTCTTGACCAATTCTTCATTTTTCCTTCCAAAGTGCTGCATACAACACTTGAGGTAATGAAGAATTTTTAAAAGCCATAGTCATGGACTTGAACATTCATCTGCAGCTACCTATATACTGTTATATGCAGTTACATTCTGAGTGATTTTTTTCCCAGTAGTTTTTTCCATCCTCTATGACAAGTCTATGGAAAACATTTATGATGACAAGCTTCATTCATCTTCAACTCATAGGCTCTGTTGCACTCCAAAGAGCCCCGTGATGGGCCCTGTGCTTTGCAAAAGAATGATAGTTCTTTTGCAAAGCACTCTTTTCACTGCATAGTCTCTATTTCCTTCAGACTGCTTTGTAATGAATTCAGAATCAGTTGAAATATAGTGGTTTAATTATGCTCATCTATACAATAAAATATTATATATTACATTTATGAAAAAGACTAATAACATGGAATCATCATGATACATTTTAGTGTAAAATGGTGTTAACAGTATTAGAGTATTATATATTGTTTTTCCCATATTTCATATTTTATTGTGAAAAATTTAATCACAAAGAAAAAGTTGAATTTGAAGAACACTGCCTTAATCTAACATTAACATTTTGCTATACTTGTTTTATGATGTTCCTATCCATGTATCCAACCCTCTATCCATCCATCCACCTTTTTTGATGGATTTGATGCATTATAGACATCAGTACATTTTCCCCTAAATACTTTAACATGAACATCTTTTTTAAAAAATCTTTATTAAGGCATTATTGATATACACTCTTATGAAGGTTTCACATGAAAAGACAATGTGGTTACTACATTTACCCATATTATCAAGTCCCCACCCATACCCCAGTGCAGTCTGTCCATCAGTGCAGCAAGATGCCACAGATCCACTCTGTGCCTTCTCTGTGCTACACTGTTCTTCCCATGATCCCCAACACCATGTGTACTAAACATAATACCCCTCAATCCCCTTCTCCCTCCCTCCCCACCCACCCTCCCACACCCCTCCCCTTTGGCAACCACTAGTTCCTTCTGATGTAGTATGTGTTCACTGAGTCAGCTGCTATTTTGTTCCTTCAGTTTTGCTTTGTTGTTATACTCCACAAATGAGGGAAATCATTTGGTACTTGTCTTTCTCTGCCTGGCTTATTTCACTAAGCATAATGTCCTCCAGCTCCATCCATAACATGAACATCTTAAGAATATATTTGCTCTTTTGAGACAAAATTTACATGTAATGGAATATACAAACCTTAAGTGTAAAATTCTCAGAGTTTTGACAAATGCATATACCTATGTAAACTCAACCCACTACCAACTTATACATTATCATTCCTCCAGAAAAGTTTCCCCATGCCCTTCTTAATCAATCTCTGTTCTAATCACTGTTCTAATTTTTTTCAATTATAATTTCACAGAGAAAAAGAAAATCTGTGAAATATTCATACTGTTTTACCACATGCCAGGCATTGTTCTAAGTGCTTTATAAATATTAACTCACTCCTCATAGCAACCCTTTGAACAAGGTAATATTATTCTCTCCATTTTATAGAAGGAGAAACAGATATAAAGTGACTAAATACCTTGCCCAAGGCCTCACGACTGCAAAGAGTGGAGCTGGGGCCCCATAGCCCACACTCTTAACCACTCTTCAGCCTCCATGTGGACATTGTTTGGACCTATGTAAACTCCAATATGCTGATGGCAGTTACCTAGGGTGGTGGGGTTGTGGCTGATTTTTGCTGTCTTCTTTCTGCTTACCTACATTTTGTAAGATTTCTTCAGTGAACACATACTACATCTCTTGCTTGTGCACCTAAAACTTCAAGCTACTTAAAAATATTCCAGATACAGGCCAACACTACTGTTTTCTAAGTCACAAAACCACTTTGGCATAATCTCTCTCCTCACTCACAGCCAAACCCTTGAATATTGCCAGGCTGAAGTATGGCCACATTCTGTGTCACAATTTATTTTCCCAAGGTTCACCTTCATGTAATATCCATGTGATTGATCACTTCAACCAAAGAACACACAAGCATCCAGTGTCACAGGGAACTATGTCTGTTAGTTGGCAGATGTCAGCGTGGGTGGATGAGAGGCAGGAAGTGACTAATCCAGCAAGGGTTTCTGAATGTTTAGTCTTCTTGAATTAAGCATAAATTTCTCTAAAGTTTAAACGTGTTTGCTCAAGATGTGCTCTGTATTTTAAAATTAATAGAGTACTCTATGGTGCTAATAAAGATAAAATTCATTTTTCTTTTAAAAAAATTTATTTTGAAGTAATTTTAAACACATATGTACCCTTTATCCACATTAACCAATTAACATTTTGCTGTATTTGTTTTCCCATTCTCTATTTCTCTAATGCTGTCTCCTGAAATAGTTAAATTAATAGGTCATGCCTCTTTACCTCTTAATACTTCCGTTGATTTTTTTAATAAGGACATTTTCTTACCTAACAGTACTACAATGCTATTTCCATATTCCAGTTTGACAGTTATCTCAATAATGTCTCTTAGCACTTTTCAGCTTCCAAGATCCAATGCAGGATTCTGCATCAAATTAATTGGCTTATCTCTTTAGTCTCCTTAAATCTGGAGCTATTCTCCACCGACCTTTTTTTAGTCTTTCTTGACACTGTCACTTTGAAGAATATGTACCAGTTACTTTATAAAATGCCTTTTGATTTGACTTAGGTTCTCCGTGATGTGTGTTATACAGTTCATGCATTCTGGGCACGAATGTTCTATGAGCGATGTGTTCTTTTCAGTGCATCACTCCAGGAAGCACATGATGCTATTAATATGGATCTGCTGGTTAAATTGGTGACTGCCAGGCCTCTCTGTTGTGAAGTTAGTACTTTTCCTTTCGTAATTAACGATCAATTTGTGGGGAAATAGAATGCCATTCTGACCATGTGTTTACTTGATTAAAAATGCTTCTGCATTTTGGAATGTTTATTTTATTTAAAGGCTTACATATTTAAGAAAGGTATGAAAGGCTGAAAATCTGTGTAGGAACTCTAAAAAGCTCTGGGAAAAAAATGCTAATGAAATGCAAGAAAAAGTAAAGAGACCAGCATATGGGAAGAAAACTATAATGATAAGGAAAAGAACATTAAGGAGAGAGAATGGTAACCAGTAAACTGAGAGTAGGAAGGGAGAACAAATGGGAAATATGTGTATATAGCTGAGACCCCTGCTGAGAAGTTTGAACCTGTTCTCATACCTCTCACTTCATCTAGTCCAAATACACCAACAATGTCATAGTTATAAAAAAAATGCTCAAATAAATATTTGTCAAATGAATGAACAATTCAGTATGACAGACTTCAGACAGAACCTGCTCAGGGCCTTTAAATCCCTATTTAATGGTATGAGTATCTGTTGGTCTCCCAATAATACAAGTGCTACATCTGAGAAAAGACTGTTAATTGTTTTTCTGAAGACACGTATGAGAAGTCTTCAATCAATATGCTTTGATATGCTATTCAGATTTATTATGCAAGAGTGGTACGTTTTATGCATTGATAGTAGCTCACCTATTAATAATACTCCTCCATAAAGCATTCCTGGCTGATGGAAAACAGGACAGCAATTTTCTACTTTCCCTTATGTTCATACAAGTCTGTCCACACAGGCTTTTCATTGTACAACAAGCTTCACAAACTATTTGCAGTCAGAGCAAGATTAAATTTGGGGCATGTGATAACAAGAAATTGGTGTGATGGAAATATTCCAGTTGAAAAAATTTTTTTTTGAAATTTGTGGTTGAGAAACTGGCTTGTCTTATAGTTTATTGCATCACAGTCATTTTTGCCTAGTTATCCTGATATACCATCTATTACCCCATTTAAGATCTAAATATTTATTTGCTTAGCTGATTCTTGGCCACAGACCCAATACCTGCATCCTCTTGGTCAGGATTCTGTGTGGATCTAGGTTTGCTTCCTATTAAGTTATTCCCAAGTTCCAAACAGCCTCTGCAAACAAAGAAGGTACAGTGCCTAGCCCACCCCAAACACTCCTATTCTCCACAGCTGGAACATCCTTGTGTCATTCGTTCATTCAAAAACGGAATTGCGTTGTTGAATTTTGGTCTGTGCCTTTAGGTGGCTCAGTTTCATTGGAGAAACCAACAGATAACCAACTACCCAGGATGCAGTTCATGTGGTAAGGAGATAAGCAAGCCCAGGAGGGGCAGGTGACTAATTCGTGTGCTCTGAATATATGGGTCATTCAATCTGCACATCAACCTTAAAAGGGAAACTTTTATCCTTGTCTTTATCAGATGAGAAGGCAGAGGCTCAGGGAATTTCAGAACTTTCTAGATTGCAGTTGGCAGTGGGACGAGGCTGTGAGGCTTGGCTTCCCTGATCCCCTTTCTCCCCCGACTCCAAGCTGCGTCCGCGCGGCAGGAAGGACCGGCAAAGGAGTTCTCTCAGCGTGCTTATGGATGGCACCGGGGCGCGCGGCGGGCAAGAGGGCCGGGTTTGGGGCAGGGGGACCGTTTGCGCGCGAGCTTCCGATCCTTCGGGCTCGTCCGTCCTCCGTTCCGCCCGCAAGCCTTCCGGGGACCTGGCTCTGCTGCCTGAGACTCGTCATTTCCAGATCCTGTCTGCGAGGGTCCTACTTCGGGGGCCACCGTGTCAGAAGGCGCGCCTCCTTCCCAGCCGTACCGGAAGCCGTAGTTAGAGTGACCCTCGCGGACGGTCTTTCGATGACGCGCTAACGAGCACAAAGGGAAGGGCTTTCTTTCCAGCGCGACAAGGAGAGCTCAGAGGTGCCCGGCCCAGGGTGCAGCAGGGCCGCAGCCGCCCGCTGGGCACAGGCGCACTCGGGGCGCAGCGGCGACGCTGGCTCAGATGCGCATTCTCAGGCTCTACGCGGACCCGACCTCCCAGCGGCTGGCAACCATGCGCGCCCGTGTCTGTGACCCCAAAACTTGCCCGCTGCAACCGAGGGGTCCCCGGGCCGTGAGCCTAGACGGGACGGGAGGTTGCGGGCGCATCCGCGGCTGCGGGCATAGCGGCGGAGTGAGGGGCGGAAGGAGGCCGCCGGCGGCAGGGTGAGCGTACCTCCTTTCCGGGGTCTCCGGAACCGCGAGGCCGCCGCCCGTCACCAGCCGGGTCCCGGGTGAAACACGCCAGCTTCGGCGCATCTGCTCATTTAGGAAACGCATTTTGAGCTCCATTCAACTAAGAAATACCAGAGCTTTGGGAACGCAGTCCATTCTTACATGCGACCAGCACTTCCTGCTTTGTTATGTTTATATTGTGAAACTAGTAACTGCTCACTGTTAAATAGTTCGAGAAAGGTGTAGGAAAAAGTAAAAGTCCCCTCTATCAATCCCTTAACATCAGGTCCCTGTAAACCTTGTGGAATCCACCCCTTGAAATTATTTCCTAGGCAAAGGATACATATACCAATAATGGAATTAAACCACGACATGCTCTTGTAATCTTCATTTTTTTCACTTAATATGTTATGGTCTGCTTTCCATCTTAATGTAGATTTGTTATATATACCATATTTACTGTATTTTTATAGGTTTATTAGGTAATGACCAAAATATGAGTGTAAGATGTATGTAGTGACTTGGTTTTGGTTAAAAATATTGGAAGCATGTGGGTACACCACAAGAATCTTTCACAAAAACTTTATGCTTTGTGTATCATTAAATAATATCTCACAGACCCATGACTCAGCCTTTCCCAATGATTATAATTGTTTTTTTCATTCATAATCTGTGTGGGTAACATAAGAGTTCCTGTGGCCAGGATTCTCACCTAGCCCTGGTTGACTAGTACACTGCACACCTGTGGGCAGTTTGACTCTATATAAAGAGCTCCGCTCAGTGCTCTGGGCGTGACACAGTGGCAGGGCTGCAAGGCTGCAGGAGAGCAAAGCAGAGGCTGGAGTGGTGGCAGCGCCAAGGACAGAGGCCCAGAGGATGGCTGCGCAGAACAGCTGTGTGGGATGGCTGTGCTGACAGAGGGGCCCAGAGGCAGAGACGGGCTTGCTGCATGCAGACTTGCTCTGAGTGAATGGGATTCTAGTGACCTGCCACCTGGAAATAAAGTTGGTTATAACCCTTTCACCCCAAGAACGTTTTGCTGTCATTTTCTTTGGTCACATTGAATCCATAGTGAACTTGCCTGGGGCTGAAACCCATTGGCAAGACAATCTGCCATTCACTCTAGCAGTGGGATTCTTATGCAGCCTCTTCACATCTTTTCTAAAATCACCTGTGACAGGTCTACTAATGGCTCCCCTGCTTTCTAACATGATCAAAATACTCTAGGCTTGCCTGACTTTTTGGATGTCCTGATACACATACTGTGATCCTCCAAAGAGTTCTGATTCTTTTTAGAGCACAGAAGGTCCAAGTCGAGTGTTCAGAATGAGGCTCCACAGGTGTTCAAATGTAGCAGACTGGGTGTGCACTCAGACTGGTGCTTGTCCCTTTGGCAATGACATATGCATCTTCTGTTGATCTTCTCTCCTTTCTCCTCCCTGCTCTGTGCCCTGGGGCAGTGACCTAGCCAGACTGAATCAAAGGGCTCCCTTGTCCTCGACTTCCAGTTGTTTTAGCCAATTGGAGGCATCAGCAGAAAATGAGTCTTCAGAGAACTCAGCTCTTCCTGGGGGCCCCAAAGGGTTGACATCATCCTCTCCAAATTCTGATGAGGACTCACTCCCTCCTGCTCAACCTTAACACAGAGGTGGTCTCCCAGTGGACTGGCTCCAGGAACAATAACCACCCCTTGCGGTTTTCCCCAAACTCTGAAACCCTTTTGTTCCTTTATTAAACTCTCCTCAGTTACCCAGCATGAGAATGCCAGCAAATGCTGGGGATCCTAACAGATACCACAGGATTCAGGGTGGTTTTTAAAAAGCTGATCTTTAAAACTTTTCTGTATTTTCCAAACTGTTCACAATGATCAATGTTTTATTTTTATGAGTTTTTAAAATGTTATCAAGAAGCATATAAATCCTTTTGCTGAGGGTCATCAAGCAGCTAGAGTTCCAGGGGCACATTTTTGGACATACTGATACAAATCATATCTAGAAAATACTCCCCAAATTGTAACACTTACCTCTTGGTGGTGGGTGTGAGGGTAGCTGCTTCTGTTCCTCCTGTATAGTTTGTATTTTTACAAGAGCATGTGTCACTTTTACAAAAATGAGACTTTAAAAATAAATTTCTGGGGAAATAAGCACATTTTAATGCTTAAAGGCAAAGGTCAAGTTTTTTTTTTCCTGTAAATGGCCAGATAGGAAATGTTTTAGTGTTTGCTGGCCAAGAGGCAGAATCGAGGATATTATGTAGGTACTCACATAAGACAAAATAAATTTCTACAAAATTTTTATTGACAAAATTGAAAATATAATACTAATAATTGAGTGCAATATTTTTTGGTAATACAGGTCTACTAATAAAAAGATATTTCTTTTTTGGGAAACAACGTGTTACTTAATTGGGGCTCAAAGTTAGTATATGAGATATTATATGTTACTTCTTTGAAAATGTTTTCCGATACAGATAGTTACTGCCAAATATTGATATATTGGTCCCCAAGCACGTGATTTTAATTAAGCATATTCATTCTTATAATAGATTCTTCTCTTGATATTTGCCTTTCAGTATGTCTTTACACTGAGATTAATCATTTCTAATTAAAGATTATGTGGGAGATTCTCAAATGATTAGTTAAATGGATTTTGAAATGTCGAACTGTCCTTTTCACTTGCACTGATGTCTGACAAACTGCTAGAATTGTAGTTTGAGCTTAGAAAATATATCTGCTCCAAACTGATGTGGGAATTGACATTTTGTTTCTTGTTTTATCTTTTGACAGCAAGGGAAGTGTATCAAGCAACTTGATATTACTTGTGATTCAAAGTTTGTTGAAATGACTTCATCACAGGAAAATTTCACATATAAATGCCATTTTGCCTTGTAATTTTAGGTTGACTACATGAAGAAACAGTATCAAGTCCACAACAAAAGTTAATTTCCAAAATCATTCAGTGTTTGATAATAGTAGTAGAGGACAGTTCTCATTTAGAAAAATTTCAATCTCAGCTCCAAGCTCAAAAAGATTAAACTGATATGGTAGAGCAAGATATTCAGCTTCTATTTCTGACAAGAATTCATAGAATTGATGATTTCTAAGTTCATGAGAGTGAACCAAGTCCACTATTGATACTAATGATTCCCTAATACATGATGGATTCAAATATTTCCCGCAAAGTATCTACCAATGAATAAAATACAATCATAGGTTTTAAATACCTTACATTTTCACAGGCTTTGTAAATTTGTCCATCTAAGCTCCACGTATATTTTACTACCTTGTAAACATATTAGCAGATTCCACTTCAGGTTGTGTGGAATTAGTGTTTTCTCAGCTTCTTTGAAATATTCTTGCCTGTAGTTGTTCCATGCTGACTATTCATAGAGTCTAATTCTTTAGCAACTGCAAACTCTGCACTGGCTTCTTGAATAAACAGTAACAAAAGTTATCAGCAGTATCTATTGATTCATCAAGCCAAGGAAAGCTACTCAAAATCACTGGCCTTGTTTTTAATTGATCATTGATGTCTCTTCCAATGTTATCAAGTTTGAGCAGCTGTTCTCACCCAAAAGGCAGTCTTAAACAAATTTTAGGTTTTGTGAGCCAAGAGGTATAATTGAGATTACGTGGGTTCTTACTTTCTATGTACTTTTTTTTAGTGATGAAAATAAGTTCATATGGGGGAAGAGCTACCGTGCTGCCTTGCTTGGCAAGGGTAAATCTCACCTCACTGCAATTCAGTTGTTAAAATGAGTGACTACTGCTCATGTCATTTGTGCACAATCACAATTAACATGAGTGACCAGATGTTCAAATGATTTGGTTTCCCATTAATCCCACTGACTAAGCCAACAATCACTTCAAATCATGCTGAAGAAGAAATATCACCAAAAATCAGATCAAGAAATGTCCACTGATAGAGGGCTTTTTGTTGATTTAAGTATGATCTTTAAATCCATTACTAGTTTTCTAGCTTGCAGTCTTTCATTTGGTACAGCAACTTCATTTCTGTGGGGACCATTGACTTAGCAAATGTCTTCTAACCCAGTATCACTTTCAAAACAAACCTTGATTTGACCATGAATACATATTTTTAAACACATGGCTTTTAACACCATCATTTTTACACTCTGAAATATACTGTCATGTCAGAAGTAAAAAAATAATACAGAATTTCATTATCACTCTGTGGTTGCACTAAGGCATAGTAATAGTAGCCTGTGGTCTATTCTTCCTCAGGCAAGTTTATGAAAAGTAATTTTGGAACCTCAGTCATGGTCAGCCAGAAGACAGTCTTCCCTCCTCGGTCAATAAGTAAATCAGTATTTTTGAAGTACTGTTTGAGTTGTTTGGGGCCTCCCTTGCATTGCAACTGGATGAGAAGATCTGAAACTTGTTTGTCTTTGAGCAGAAGGACTTTAGTATCAAGAAATCATCGCTTCCTTTTCTTCTTGGATAGCTAACACAGTACCTAAAAGCTGGGGCTCTTTCTGATACTCTGAAGGTCCTTTTCAAGAAACCCATTCCTCTGGAACTTCTTAGTGTGTCATAAGGCTTATCCAGTCTCCATCTCACTAACAACGCTATCCTCTACGTTTAGGATTCTTATTCTCGCGTAGCTAGTAAGTTGCAAGTAAGGCCTCAAGCCAGGTCTGTTGGTGCAGTCTGGTCTTTTCCCCAAAGGGGCTGGTGAAAGACACCTGAGTCTGGACACGGGCTAGGGTTGAGGCAAATTAAGAATGCTGGCAACAGACCTCATCCCCTGTACCATCTGCACCGGACCAGCCGGAGGTGGGAATGACGTGTCGACCCAACTCCGGTCAATTCCTAGTTATACCATCCCACCGTCATCCTCACTGCAAGTGCATTCTAAATGCCAAAAGTATCCTCCACTGGGCCGAGCTGAAGCAGACGGCAGGCACGGCAGTGCCCCCTCGTGCCACCAGAGAGGGGTGAGCCGCTGCCGCGCGAGCGCCCCTTAGCAGCGAGTCTGTGGCCGCAACCCCTCCGCCGAGCACGCCAACGCGAAGGAGCCCGCGCGGCAGCCAGAGCGCGGACGACGCGAGGGGGGTCCCAGGCCCCGGGTGCTTTCCAGCAGCAGCAACCCGGCCGGATTAGGGGGCGGGGCGAGGCGGGGCGGGGCCTGGACGGCGGGAGCAGCTGCGCGGGGTTGGCGCCCTTGGCCCCGCGCGCGGACTGCTATGTCCAGGGGCCTGCCGCGCCCAGGCGTTCGAATTCTCGGACAAAATGGTGTGTTCCCAGGAGGGCAGCGGGGCCATTCCCGCGGGCGGACCCGGAGAGGAATGCGGCGCCCCCACCCCGCCGGGAAGAAAGCGGGGGCAGTCCGGCCGTGCTGTCTCTTTAAGACGGTGTTCCTAACACCGACGGTGAGTAACCTGGCCGCAGGTCCCCGGAGAAACCCTAAGGAGGAAGGGCGGATGGGAGCTCAGATCTCTGGGCGTGGAATTTGGGGAAGTTATGAATGGGAGGGCACCCCGCTTTGAGACAAAGCCCCCAGGTACTTCGTGAATTTTCACAGGGCAGCCTGAGAGGGCGGTGAGACTAAGCAGGGCCAAGTTCCAAAGGGAGGAGAGTCCCCAACCTGGTTTCAGCGCCCACACGGCAGGTCTTCACGATCTCGGTAAGCCCAGTAGCTCGTGAACCAGTCGCATGAATGCAGGAAGCTTCTGGCCTCTGTGGTGGATGGGAAGCCAGAGGAAGCCAGGCTGCTGGCTGTCAGGTGCCCTGTGCACCCGGTTCATCACCAAGGTTCCTGAGCTGCGGTGGAGCTGTGCAGTCCACGATGGGGCATCCTACAGCGCCCTGAGGACCTCAGAGAGCACAGCAGGAAGCAGTGGAAAGGAGGGTGGCCACACTGGTGGCCGTTGGGGGCTGGTGCCCGTTGGGGGTTGGCCCAGTAGGCAGGAGGGAGGAGGAGAGGCTGAGTGGTTTGATGACACAGGGGAGCAGAGGATTGTGAAGTCAGAGGAAGTAGGATATTACAGCTGGGGCCTGGGGCTGGGTGGCAAAAGGAAAGGTGTTGTCCAGGCACACCAGTGCTTTGTGCCGGTGGTAGGGAGCCTCAGGGATCAGCAGGGTACACCTGGTGCCTGTGGTGGAATGATGAGATGGGTGAGGCCAGTCTACCACAAGGGCCCCCCTCCCCATCCTACACAGGAATGAAATCAATCCTTTGTCCACACTCTGGAAGCCAAAAAACTACCCACACCATGTGTCAGGAAAGCTGTAGGGAGACTGAGTGGCACGCGCTGCTGCCCCCTCTCCCAACCTGCCTCCCGGCAGACCACCCTTGGCTGTCCAACCCAAGCTCTATGAGCTTTCTGTCCTTCCTGAGTAGTTAGCTGCCAGGCTTTGGGGTTCCAGGGCTCTGGGGAATAAGCACTGGAGAACAGATGAGTCCTGAAGATCACCACTGACCCCCACCGTCCTCCTTCTCCCAGATGCAGAGGCCTCCATGGCTGTGATAAGCCTTCTGTTCCTGGCAGTGATGTATGTTGTTCATCACCCCCTGATGGTCAGTGACCGGATGGACCTGGACACACTGGCCAGAAGTCGGCAGCTGGAGAAGCGCATGAGTGAGGAGATGCGCCAGTTAGAGATGGAGTTTGAAAAGAGAAGGCGAGCAGCTGAGCAGAAGCAGAAGGTAGAGTACTTCTGGAAGGGAGACATATCAAGTGACCAGTTAGTGCTGGGGAAGAAAGACATGAGGTGGCCGTTGCAGGCTGAGGGTCAGGAGGGGCCGCTGGGCTGGATGCTGGGAAACCTGTGGAATGCTGGCCTCTTTTGCCTTTTTCTCATCTTTGAGCTCCTGCGACAGAACATGCAGCATGAGCCAGCTTTTGACTCCAGCAGTGATGAGGAGGAGGAAATCCGCATTATGCCAGTCACTTCCTACAACTGGCTTGCCAACTTCCCCTCAAGGGAGGCCCTGGAATCCTTTTACAAACACTATGTCCAGAATGCCACTCGTGACCTGCCCTGCACCTGTGAGTTTGTGGAGAGCTTTGTGGACGACCTCATTGAGGCCTGTCGGGTGCTCAGCCGCCAGGATGCCCAACCACAGTTGGAGGACTGCCTGGGCATCGGGGCTGCCTTTGAGAAATGGGGAACCCTCCATGAGACCCAGAAATTTGATATCCTGGTCCCCATTGTCCCCCCTCATGGCACTATGTTTGTGCTGGAGATGAGGGATCTGGCCCTAGGTCACCGCTGCGGCTGTGTGCTGGTGGAGTCAGAGTGTGTGTGCAAGCGTGAGAAGCTTCTGGGGGATGTGCTGTGCCTGGTGCACCACCACAGGGACCATTCGGCCCTCTTGGGCAAGTGTAGCAGTTCCATCAAGGCGACTCTCTGCACTGGCTCCCACCTGGACATGTGCAAGACCATACAGTGGTTCCAGAACATGGTGGGCAATGCCTGGGCCCTGGTGGCCCACAAGTATGACTTTAAGCTCAGCCTCCCACCATCCACCACCTCCTGCAAGCTCAGGCTGGACTATCGTTCAGGCCGCTTTCTCTCAATCCGCTTGGTCCTAGGGGTACAACGAGAAGATACCTTGGTCTACCTGGTGAGTCAGGCCTCCGACCAGGAACAGCTCACCAGTGTGGACTGGCCCGAGTCCTTTGCCGCCTGTGAGCACTTGTTCCTGAAGCTGGTAGGGCGTTTTGCTCCAGAGAACACCTGTCACCTCAAGTGCCTCCAGATCATTTTAAGTCTCCGGGACCTTCAGAGCCTACCCCAGGGAGCATCCCGTCCCATCCTCACCTCCTACCACTTCAAAACAGCCCTCATGCACCTCCTGCTGCGGCTGCCTCTGGCAGAGTGGCAGCATAGCATGCTCTCACAGCGGCTCCAGGACATCCTCTGGTTCTTGGGCCGTGGCCTCCAGCAAAGGTCCCTCCATCATTTCCTCATTGGTAACGCCTTCCTGCCTCTGACCATCCCAATCCCTAAGACATTTCGGAATGCCGAGCCTGTCAATCTCTTCCAACACCTTGTGCTAAACCCCATGGCACATTCACAGGCACTGGAAGAGTTCCACAACCTTCTGACCCAGATGAAAACTCTGCCCTGTGCCCCATCAGCTGGTGCACATTAATGTAAAGGCCGTTAAAAAGGGAGAAGGGATATCTGATTCCTCAGGCTGAAAAAGAGTTTGTCTTTGTCAGTGGGGGCTGTGGTAGATTAAGACACTTAAAGGAGCATGTTAAGTGGTAAAAGAGGATGGGGTCCAGCCTGCAGAGCCTAATCAATGGTGGATCTTCTGAGGTTTTCTCTTCTGACTTGACTTTCATCATGACCCAGAGAGGGCCCAGGGGAAGCAGATGTTATGGGAGGATCTTGCTGCTCAAGAGTAGAGATCTAGAGAGGGCCTGTGAAGTTGTGTTTTGCATCTACACTGGAAGTGAAAGAGAACCAGAATACCTCCATTCCAGCTCATTCCTTTTTGTGAATGACTCCTAAAACACTCCTTGTAAACTGGTTTCCTTGTTGAACTGTTAGCTTAATTCATATCGACGCTGACAGCACTCTATTTTATCCCAAATACTGTGATGGTAACTTCTCATATTTTGGAATATAATTTTTCAGATATTCATTATTTGAAGATATAACCAAGATGTCTATTTTCCATTTTCTTAATTTAGCCCTATTTTCATGTGATATATGAAATAAAGCCATTTTTATGCATCTGAAAAACTCCAATACTAACCAAATAATTTATTAGCATTGGTTCACAAATATTAAGTCAATAGTCACCTGTCCCATAATTGAGGTAATTATTAAAATTAATGAAATAGCCGACACTTGAAGACCACATCGTGCTTGGAAGCAATATTATAAAACCCTTAATAAGGACAATCTTTGGGGCTCTGAGATGAAGAGTTACTGTTTCTGTGGGGAGCCACTTGTTTGTTAAATGAAAAAAAGGTTAGCTACCATGAATAGCTGTGTGTTTTCTCAGTCTGGTAATGCCTTTATATTCTCTCTTCAAAAACGACAAAGGAATTATTTGAACTACATTGGTGGTTCAAATTGGTGGCAAAAACAGGGTCATCACAATCCAGGCCCATTGCCAGGGCGGAACAGGAAGGGGCCATGAAGCAGTCCAATTCTAACAAAGTTGCAATTTGGGAGTGAGGATGGGTATATTTTTCTCTTCTTTCAAAACTTGGGGCCCCCTGAGGTGGAGTGTTAAGAAATGTGACTAGTTGTGGGTGTGGTTGTTCTGGAAATACCAATGCTGTTCCTACCCTGCCTGCCAGGAAGGTCTGCCTGGGAGCAGGACCAGGCCCCACATTTAACTTGACTGCAGGGGGTTTAGATGCTGGCCTTATGGGCTTTGGTTGTAAAATCCATATCTGCTGCAAAAGTAAACTACAAGGGTCACAGAAGCTGATGCCAGCTAATAATTTGGGGCTCCCACTGCACAACTGCTGCCGGGTTCCCAACCTGTCTGCCGGGACCTGCCATGTACTTGCTTTCAAGCTAAGATGCAATAATGGTGGTTCTATGCTGCTCAGATTTTGGTGTTTTATAGACATCCATATGCTTTTTGTTTAGAAAATAATTTGCTGCTGTTTTAGTTCCAAATCAATAAAGGATGCTATTTTCTCTGTCAATTGGAATCTGTGCAATAGCACACAAACAGCAGATCAGTGTTCTTACATGCCTGTTCCCAAGAAGTTCATATTACCCTGATCGCTTCATCTAGTACATCCTGGTATTTCTCAATGTACTTTGAACCAGTTTGCCCTGAGGTTTCCCAGTGGCATGGCCAGTAGCCAGGAAAGAATAATTCAGAATATTATGGAACACCTAAGTTACTTATTTTCATGGTGCCCCAGACAAAATATCACCCACATTAAATGATCTTAGTGGCTCCAAACAATACACAAGCTCTAGAAGGCATAAGTAGAGAGGTGGTATGATGTTCTAGGACTGTGTGCTTTCTAGTCTAGTAAGAGGCAAGAAAGAAAATGTAGTTATGAGCAGGCCGAAGATTACAAAGGGAACAGTCAACGAAGCCTGGGTGGGGCAGAGGGTGTTAAGAAACAACATAGAGAAAACAAGCAGTAATGGAAAGAACAGAGCTGTAGTGCTCTGGGAATACTCTTACAATGAAAGGGGAAGTTTCTCCAGATATTTAGGAAGCTGAGCTTCATTCTAAAACAATACCTGGTTGGCACCCAGGATGTGTATTAACAGTTATAGTAATGAAATATTTAGTGCTCATTGAGCATTGCCAATGGCCCAGGAACAGTTCTAAATGCTTCGCATCTGGTAACTCATTTAATCTTCACACTATAACCCCATGAAGTGGGTGTTTTATCCCCTCCATTTTACCTGTGAGGAAACAGACACAGAAAAGGTACCCAGCTTCCTCAAGGCCATATAGCTAGTAAATGGCAAAGCCTGGAAGAAAGTACCTCTCTTAGCACCCTTCCAGCATGGCCTTGGGACCAACACAAGATGTAGGGGTCAAAGTGCTTTGAAAAGCAAAAAGCACTGTATTAATTCTAAGATAATGGGTGGTATGTTTGGAAATTCTAAAAGACAGAAATTGTTGGCACTTAGCCCAGTCTTTAGGAGGTCAGGAATTTCGTATCACATACACAATTTAAAGGCATTTGCTCAGAGGCCAAAATGAATGCAAAGCCATTTCTACTACATGCCTGTTGAGCCCCAATGACTCAATAGTTCATACCATGAACCACATGAGATAAGCCAGCTGAATGCTGGAAAGTCAGGGCAAATTTGAAGCCAAAAGATTGTTCAGGTAGCCAACTGATAACACTATTATTGTTCCTCACCTAAACTAAGGCTGTTTGCCAGTCATTATGGGGAAGTAGAATCCTGGTGAGTGAAATGGGGCAAGGGAATGGCTCCAGCACTGTTTTTCTGGTAGGCAAGTGATAGGGGAGGGGCCCCACTACTTTGTTTTTACAGGGAGGAATTGAGTTTTGCATACTACTGATAAATCATTCAATCTTTTGGCATCCTCTGTAGTCCTAACTCCTCCAAAACAAAGATAGCATTTAGAGCCAGAGGTGGAAGACCTGCTAGCAGTGGGTGGAGCTGGCTCTGCCTCCCGGCAAAATGGAGCCCCCAAGCCATCAGCTCAGGAGGCTTATTACAAGCACAGAATAGCTTCATGCCTCACCTACTGAGTCAGCTGGTAGCCTCCTTCTGCCCCTCTGCCAGCAGTTCCAAGCCAGTTCTTCAGGGGCTCCTGATTCAGTGTCTCCTACCACCCTCCCAGACCCCACTGCTCTTAGTTGGTGCACACATGGAATTCAGGGGGTCACAACCTGTTCCCACTGTTCTCAGATGCACTTAGCACAGAAAGAACAAGTGAGATGACAGGGACTCTCCTGCACACTGGGCCCACATACTCACAAGGGTTTAACCTACCACTGAATTCTTCATAAAGCCCAGTGAAAGGGGGTAATCTCATCAGTCTTTTATAAATGGGGACGCAAATGAGGCCCAGGGAGGCTATGATGCCCAATCCAGGATTTAAAATAGTCTTCCAACTTTGCTCATTCAGTACACATTTAAGTACTTGCTGTGTCCAGGACTAGCACCAAGTCCTGGGAAAACAATGGTGAGTAAAGACATGGCTTCATCCTCATGGAGATAGACATGAAAGTCACCCCAGCAGATGTTCAACTGCAAAGGTGAAATTTCTACTAAAGTCTCCAGTTAAGGACACTTGAGCAAATCAAGGAAGGCCTCCCTGAGAAGTGACATGAGCTGAAACTTGAAACCTGGAGCTATCTAGTTGAAGATGGGGATGAAGAGGATCCTGTGGAGGGTATGGCATGTGCAGAGAATGTGGACTGGGAGCTGCTGCAGTGGGGTGAGGCTGAAAGAAGGTCCAAGGGATTGGAGGGTGGGGAGCAATGGAGACAAGGTACAAGGTGAAGCTCGAGATGCTGTGGGGACCAGACCCTGCAGGGCCTTGCAGCTCACTTTATAAATTCCCAGAGCAATGGGACTTCTGAAAGATTTTAGACTTTAGGAAGTGATAAGTTCCTTATAAGTAAGAATAACAATTAGTCAGCAACTACCACCTGGGACCCAATTAGAAGGGGCTCAGAGCAGGTATGGGGCTGCTACAGATCAGCAAGAAGGTAATGTGAACAAAATGGAGAGAAGGGATTGAAGAGACTTTTAGGAAGTAAACAGAGCTCAACAATGGATTGTGTGTGGAGAGAGTGGGGGAGAGGGAGATATGGAGGATGGCTCCTGGGTGGCTGGTAGAAATTCACTGAAATCAACACCATAAACTTGTTTTCTTTCTTCCATCCCACACTGTTTTACACTGAAAATATGAAGACGGTCACTGAGAGAACAAGTTTGTGCAAAAAACAAGTAGGGTTAAAAAATGTTTTTCACAGGTATTCAACTTTTTGGTTGCCAAAGTGACTGTGGGGCACTGACGACATTTAGTGGGCAAAGGGTGTCTGGGTTACTATACAGTCCTACAAAGAGGGCAAGGGTCCTACGAGTCAATAATTGTTTCACCCTTATTGCTAATAGCACCCTTGAGGAGAAACTATAAAATGCCAGCTGTGTGTTTTAAGAAATTATAGTATTTTCTAGGGGTATTTAGGGGAATTGCCTCGGCCTTTCCTCCGGTACCACAGTTGGGGTTAGATGCTGAATGAAAACAGCCAATGCGAAGATAGGCAACAAATTACACCTTATTTAAAACCTTAAGTTTTTTTTTTTTTTTAAAGCGGGGCGGGGAGATACACAGGGAACTTCCCTGCATTAAAAACAACGGCTTCATTTACAAATGTACTCATAACATTTTTACATCTGTCCTTCTCCCGCCTGGAATGCTCCTCATTCCCATGTCTGCTCCCTTTTATGTTGCAAACCCCATCCACCACTTTTACCTCCTCACGGTACAGGTCCTCACATTACAAGTCAGTATGGAAAACTGACCTTGTTTTCTGGTAGACTGCCTCTCCATTTGCAAATTCGAGAAGCAGAGCCCTCGCCCGCCCAGCTCCACTCCGAGTCCCTAGCGCCCAGTTCCGCTTCCAGCACTCGAAAGGAGAGTGTTTTTAAACTCTCGCTGGGGGAGGAGGGGCCGGTGGTCCAAAGACTCTCTGCAGTCCACTCATAGCACCTTCCCCGGAGCCCTCAATCCTGGACGGCTCACTTCCGCGCTGCTTCTAGACGGTCCTTCAGGCGAAGAGGAGCTACGCGGTCTGCGCAGGCGCGCCTCTGGCCCCTCCCACGGGGGACGTCACCGCGGCCGTTACGGCGCTCGAGCGTCTTGGCGCGCGATTTAAATACAGCTCTAGAGACGCAGAGAGCAAGATGGGACCTCCCTGCCCAGGTGAGGAGTGGTGGCGCGTTGCGCGGCGCAAAGGGCACAACGCGGAGTCGTACTCGGGGCCAGCGGGAGGGCCTGAGCGGAGAGTGCAGGTATTTTCGGCCTTGGTGGCCTTGTCAGCCGGTGGAAGGAGAGTCAGGCGCCGGGGTGGGGGAGGGGCGGGTAGTGCGCTCCGCCAATCAGGTCGTGGCTTCCGCCCGCGGCGGGAGCGCGCGTGGGGTCCGTCTCACTCCTGTGATTCCCAGAGCGGTGTGGGGTTCTTTCTCTCGAGTTCCTATGCTGGGCTGGGTGTCTCTTAAATAGGTGATTTTCCTGAAATGCATCTTAGTTCAAGGCCATGGAGGCGTTGTGGCTACCGCTGTATGCTTAACACGCATGCATTTTTACATTAATTCAATGTGTATCGAGCACTTTGAGCGAAACCCTCTGTCAGGTGCAGAGATGGAGCAAACCACAAAAGAGAGAAGATCCCAGCCTCTTGGAGCTTGTAGTATATAAATAAACGAAATGATTACAGATGAGGCTGAGTGCTGTGATGGACAATAGCAAAATGGGCCCCTTTATTAATTTCTTCATTTTTAAAAAATTTGTAAACTTTTATTCGCAGATTGTTAAGATATATCCGATGAGAACGTAAATGCCCAACTACAGGAACCAGTTAAACAATGGTGTTTTTGTGTAGCAGAATATTATGCAGCCTTTACATACCATATTTCTCCACAGTTCAGTCATTACTGGATTTTTTATCATTTCCATTTATTTTTGCTCGCTTAATAGGTGTACAGTAACGTATTAATGTCATTTTATTTTTTAAATATTAAATTTTTCCGATATGGTTTTTTTTCCTGAATTCTGTGTAATTTATTTTTTGAGGTACATACAACAAAATGCACAAATCTTAGTGTTCAGATTAGGAATTCAGGGGAGATCTTAAAGCAGAGAGTTGGGAATGTGTTTCAGGCAGAAGGCACAAAAGCCAAAAAAATAACAGGGGCAAGCAGGAAAGAGCCTGGCTTGGACTAGGACCAGAACATTGTGACTAAACAGTGAGTGCGGTAGTCCAGGTAGGCAGGGCCTTTACAGGTCTTGGTAAGAGGTTAGGAAATTTAGAGTTAAATTTGGAATATGGTAAGTGACTTACCTGAGACACAGGTGAAGGGGTCAGTAAACACTTGGATAAGAGAGTTTGACAATTAGGGGGTGATATGGACCACTCAGGGTGGACCATGGACTGAGAAATAAACTTGCACATCATCATCATACAGATCATGAACCATAGTTGTAGGTGAATGTGACAAGACAGTTCTCATAAAGTGGTGGAGATGGCAACCAGAGCACAGGAGGTTGAAAAATGAGTAGGAGGTGAGGAAGTGAATGCAGAAAGTGTTTTTAAGCTCACTAACCATTTGTTGAGTGAACGGATGCATGATGACTGGCAAGAGAGAAATCGGAGAAAGACTGTACAAAGAATTAAAGCATGCCTCTAATTCCCTCTTGAATTTCCCTCTTAAACAAGTTCCTCCTTCAGTGCTACCTATTTCTGTTAAGATCGCTTCTCCCACGGTCCAACTCCGTTCCTTACCTTGCAGTGCTCAATCTCTAAAAATGGATCTTGCCTCCTTCCTTTCCATTTTTTACTTTTTGTGTGTTTTGATCAGCTGAGAGTTATGTTAATCATACTCTTCAGCTGGTGGGAAGCAAGTTCTTGTATTTTATTCCTTTTTTTTTCTGTTTACCACTCCTGTTTTCTTCCTCTTACGTGGGCAGCCATTTAATGTTAATTGTGTATCACTTTATTTTTAATGTGTTCCAACTAAATATGTGTCATATTGTGCATTCTTTTTCTTGTATTGCCAATTCTGAACCAGCTGAGAGATACTTTCTTACCATTTGTAGGATGAAGAAGCAAATGCTCAGAACATTTACTTGATTAAAATTTCTCCAGCTATTGAGTCTGGGATTTGAAGCCAAGCCTTCTGATTCTTAAATCTGAAAAACTTCCCTGCAACCCTCCCCCCACTACAGGACTCTCAGTTCTTCATCTCTCTTCTAATGATGATCCTGTTTCCTGCCCTGCCATCTTTGCTATAGCCACCCAATACCGTAGTTACACCCTAAACCTTGTTGTTATCAATAGCACACCACTCTGTCATCATCTTAATTTTAAACACCCCATTGCTCAATGCCACTCCTGTCTTTCCAACTCACTCTCGTGTTCCCTGAGTCCAACAGTCTTCTTGACCCAGCAGATTCTGCTTATCACTCTCCCTCACCTCTGGCCTTATTCCCCTCCTGACTTAGCTTACAGTCTGTGGACAATCAGTGTTCTCCTTCACACACCTGTAACCCCTTGCCCTCTTCCTGCTTCCTCACACTTCCTTGACAAAAATCACAACCCTAGTTATCTCCAACTCTACCTTCTCTGCCCCAGGTCCTACTTACTCGGTGGTCTCAGTGGGACCCTAAGGGCTGCCCAGCAGTCATGCTGTACTCCCTGGTTCATCCACTCGGGCTCCCAGGTGACTGTTTCATACCTTCCTTTCTCTCCTGATAACTCTAGTACCTCCTCTTAGGACCTCGTCCTTAGCTGTTGAACTTTTGGTTTTTATTCACTTCCTATTTTACTAACAAAATAAAAGCAATCAAAAAAGAACATCCACAAGACCACCATTGTACCTGCTCCTGCACCTCTGCCTGTGTTGTCTGCCTGCCTTCCTGTTGCTGTGGAGGGCTTTCTGTGCTCTCAGCAGAGGCAGCCCCTTTACCTGTTTGAGGACATTGTTAAGCACCTTCTACCCTTTCTTCAAATGATCTCTCTGAATAATGGCCTCTAAAGATGTCCAGAACCGGGTAATGTGTTATCTTACATGCTGAAAAGGATTTTGTGGGTAAAATTAAGGATCTTGAGATGGGGAGATAATTTAAGATCTTGATGGGCCCAGTGCAGTCACAATGGTCATTATAAGGGAGGGTCAGAGTCAGAAGGATATTTGATGACAGAAGCAAGAGGTTGGAGTGATGGAAGGAAGAAACCACAAGCCAAGGAATATAGGTGGCTTCTAGAAGCTGAAAAAAGCAAGGAAACAGATTCTTCCTAAAACCTCCAGAAAGAATGCAGCCCTGCTGACCTGATTTTAGACTTCTGATGCCAGAACTGCAAGAGAATAGATTTGTGTTCTAAAGCACTAAGATTACGGTGATTTGTTATAGCAGCAATAGGAAACTAATACAATTTATTTTCTTCATTCTGCCAACCTGGGTTTTTCTTTTTTCCATCTCAGAATTATTTTCTTGACATCACTTAACTTTCAACTGCCTCCCACTCAGTTCTTCATTTTATAGCATAAGTGCTGAAAACCTTGTTTCCATTTGTTGTCTCCAGTTTCTCTTCTTCCATCTTTTCTTAAATCTGTGTCTGATGGACTTTCTCCTCCCCCTGCTACTTTAGGAAAACATCACCTGACTTTTAGAAAACACCACATGCTCCTAGTTTTCTCCCTGTCTCATTAGTTGCACAATTACTTCTCTGCTGCTTCCTCGTTCTTTCCTTCTCTTTAAACTTTTGAAGTATCCTAGGATCAGCCTTCTGCTGTTCTCTATGTATACTTATTTATTTGGAGTTTTCTTCATCTAGTCTTATGGCTTTGAATACCCTCTGTATGCTATGACTTCCAAACTTATATTTCCAGCCCAGAACTTTTCCCTAAACTCTAGTCTTAAATATCCAGATGTCTACCAGAGTTGGTTAACTAGTAAACATCTCAAGGCTAGCAGTCCAGAACTGAGCCCTGATCTTGCGTCCTTTCTCCTCACACATGCTTCTTCTGTAGGCTTCCACTTTTAGGTCATGGCAACTCCCTGTTATCAATTGTTTGGGGTGACTTTGGTGTTATCCTTGATTCTTCTGTTTACTCTCATGCCCCACATTTAATCCATCAGGAAACCATCTTGGCTTTATCTTGAGACTATCCAGGGTCTGACCACTTATCATTCCTACTGCTGCCTCTCTGGTCTGAGGCACTACCATCTTTTGTCCTGGTTATAGTAGTCACCTCCTAATTGGTCCTCTTGCTTGACAGTTCTTGCTCCCTTGTCAGTCTCTTTTCAGCATGACAACCATAGGGATCTTGAAGCATAAGTTAGATCCCTTTGCTCCTCCTCTCATCACCATGCACTCACTTCCCTTCTCATCTGCATGAAAGCCAGGCCTTACAGGGAACATAAGTATGGCTCATACATCTCTACTAGTCCTTTCCTTATTCTGACTAAATGGTGTTCCTGCTCTACCAGGCCCAGGAGAGCCTGACACCCTTGCCTCTCACTTCCGTACCCTCTCACTCCATTGAGCCACACTGGCTCCCCTCACACACGCAAGGTATGTCCCTGCCTGTGTATTCCCTCTTTTTCATTGTAGCTTCTCCCAAACATCTGCCCGTCTTGACTCTGAGGTTACCTTCTTGGTGAAGCTTTCCTAACCACTGTATTTAAAACAATCACCCATAAAATATTTTTCCAAAGATGTTTAGCCTGAATTTAACTAAGACAGATCTAATTCCAGTTTATAAGAAATACAAGGGCTACAGGAACAAGTTAAATGATATTACAAGGAAACATTCAGACAAATCCAGAATGTGGGATACTATGCAAAACTTTCACTTCCGTTTCCTAATCCTCATTTCCCTTCTGTGCTTTACTTTTCTCTACCTTACATGCTGGCTGCCTTCCAGCTTCTTATTGTGAAAATGTTCAAACAGGGAACCTGAAAGATGAAGGCAGTAGACAGCTTTATACTCATCACTATTGTTAACAGTTAACAGATCCAACAACTGTTAACAGTTTGTCATATATCCTTTATTCTCCCTGTTGCAAACATTATATCACATCACCCCTTAATTATTTCTCATACATCTCCAAAAGTAAGGATATTTTACATACCATAATACCACTATCACACCTAAGAAAATAAAAATCAGTTCCCTACTATATTCTAAATTTTCCAGTTTATCCCCAAAATGTTTATAGCTATTTTTTCTGTTTGACCAAAGATTGGCCAAAAGTTTGGACATTATTTTTGGTTATTGTGACTGGTTTCTTAATTGAGGAGTCCTACTTTTTTTTGATTCTGACTTTTTTGAGAGATGAATCCAGTTGTCTCGCATAGTATCCCACATTCTGGATTTGTCTGAATGTTTCCTTGTAATATCATTAAATTTGTTCTTGTAGCCCTTGTATTTCTTATAAACTGGAATTAGATCTGTCTTAGTTAAATTCAGGCTAAACATCTTTGGCAAAAATATTTTATGGGTGATGCTGTGAATTTCATATTCTGTCCTATCAGGAGATGAATTAGTTTCAAGTTGTGTCATTTTTTGAGAGGCTACATTTGATTGCTTGGTTAATGTGGTGACTGCTACATCTTTCTTTGTAAAAGACATTTTCTTCTTTGTAGTTAACAAATACTCTGTGGGTGATTCTTTGGAATATTCTATTTAGTTTAATATTTGTGTTTATTCTGTGCTCGCCACCCCCACCCCTCCAGCTAGAATTAGAAACTAGCCTGTCTAACTTGATAGGCCATACCTAACTCTTATCTCAGCATCTCACCTCTCTTTTGCCTGGCATGTGGTTCTGTGTCTGCTTGTGAGCTTACCAGAGGCAGCAACATTTTCCTTCCCACTTTTAGGTCCCATCTAGTGCTTTAGGTTCATAAGAGCTACATAGTGGGTATTTGTCCCAGATCAGCAAAAAAGCATCAGAAACCCATCATCCTTCAAGAAACCGAAACTATAGAGGTTCTGGCCACAGAGCTGGAAAAGATCTTGGTGGGAAATGTGCAGTTAACTTCCACCCCTATAACAGGCCCCAAGCCCTTTTGAATATAAGAAGTATTCTCTGAAGGTTTCTTAAGCAAGTGTTCTGTTCATCACGGTCAGCCACAATGAATAACTCTTCTTCAGAGATCCGTGGCCACCCCCACAGTGTCTCCTCGCCTTCAGAACGGGTGTTCTCGATGCCCCTGCCCAGGAAGGCCACCCTCAGTACTCCTGGCACTCCAGTCCTTGAAGACTTTGCCCAGAATGATGATGAAAAGGAGCGGCTGCAGCGGAGGCGTTCCAGGGTCTTTGACCTACAGCTCAGCACAGACTCACCTCACTTTCTAGCCTCCCCCTCCAGCAGGTGAGGGGGGCTGGGCTGCCTCCCTGGGGGGCCATCTTGACATGGGTTACAAGGGTCTGGCATCTACACCACCTTGTGGATTTGGGTCTAGATTTTGAAAAGTTAGAGTGTCATGGATCCTAGCTAGAGGTTTTGCTTTTGTTTTTCATTTAGGAATACTGATGTTTCAGCCACAATTCCTAAGTTTACAAACACACAGATTACAGAGCATTACTCCACCTGTATCAAACTATCCACTGAAAATGTGAGTATCTGCTGGTTTATCAGTGAAGATTTTACAACTTGAACATAGGAAATCTAGCCTTGATGCTGTAGAGAATGCAAAATTGATGATAATTGCGTGCTTTTGTTCTCCAGCAACTCTTAATGCTGGTGTTATTCAGTATGGTTTTACTGTTTCTTATAGTCCTTTGGTGCACCCTCTGACAGATTGCCTGCCACCTGCAGTGTACCTAAACAGCATGGCCTCGGGGTTAATAATGTGAGTTCTGGAGCTGCACAGTATTTAGATAGTAGAATTGTGGAGCTAATTGTGAGCTTGTGAGCTAGCCTGGGTTGGAATCCTGTCTCTGCTGCTTACAAGCTGTGTGGCCTTGGCAAGTCACTCAGCAGTCTACTGCAGGGTCTTCTTTTGTAAGAGTAAAATAGTCCCGGCCTCCCAGAGTCATCCCAGGGGTAGCTGAGTCTCCTTGTGTGCAGCGCTTAGAACAGGGCCTGCATACAGTGAACACTCAGAAATTGTGCTGTTACTCTCTGGGCACTGGGGATGAAGATGCACATGTATGATTTAGCTGTGTCACCAAGGGCTCGTGGGAATTGATAACTGTGGTAAGATGAGAGATATTTAAAAACAGCTTCCTCTATCAGGATACCATTATTTACATGAGCCTAGACTATATAAATAACCTTTCTGCAATTTTCTGTTTTCAGAAAATCACTACCAAGAATGCTTTTGGCTTGCACTTGATTGATTTTATGTCAGAGATTCTTAAACAGAAAGACACTGAACTGACCAACTTTAAAGTAAGAAGGATATCCACCTTCTCTTGCTTCTGAATTAATAAGGATTATTTCTAATTTTTAGCATAGCACAATAATTGAACTCTACAACTACACGAAACTTCCTTGTTTAAGACATTTTATTAGATACTTTACTTTCTTACCTAAATTGATGAAATATGGAGAAGGTGTTTCTGTTATGTTTTGTTTATTCCCTGTTACTCTTTGGGGAATCTTCTGTCATTTTTTTCTTAAGGGCAAATGAATGTTCTATGAAGTTTGCCATGTTTGCTGGTTTAGCAGTTCCTTTTTATGCATCCCCTTGAGTACAGCTCTGCGTGTTTGACTAGGTGGCTGCTGGCACTCTGGATGCCAGCACCAAGATCTATGCTGTGCGTGTAGATGCCGTCCATGCTGATGTATACAAAGTCCTTGGGGGACTGGGCAAAGATGTACCATCTCCAGAAGAAACAGAGAACCATGGTGCAGGTAGGTGCAGTAGAGAACCATGGTACTTTATTTAAGTGACTTTGTTAAGGGTGTAGCAGGTAGGTATTTGAGTGATATACTGGAATAAAGTTACAAGAAATCGATGATCTCATTCTGCTGAAGGCATGAACATTTTCGGAATTGTATATGAGAAGACACTCAAATACTAGAGTTGTTTTTCCTTGAAAAAGAGAAGGACCTATGAAACCTTTTAGACTGTGTTCAGGCAAGATTGAGTAAATATTACCCCTTAAAGATCTTCCAATTTGGGGGTCTTTAGAAACTGACTTCTATTAGATACCAGGCACTTAATCTAGTTGTTTAGTTTCTCCATAAGCTTGAGGTTGGATGTGCCTGTTGCTTTGAAAGGATGGCACTTGTTTCAATTATGATCACTTTTGAGAGTTTTGAAGAATTTGAATTAGTAAGTTCAGTTACATGCTCCAAAGCAATCCTTGTAGTAACACAGTCTTACTCCTTTTAGATGAAAGTGCTGCTGAAGCAGGAACAACCAAAAAGGCTGCAAAACCAAAGAAGAAGCACTCATACAAAACCATTGAGCAGAACATAAACAACCTCAACGTCTCCGAAGCAGATCGCAAGTGCAAGGTGAGGAACTGTGCACAACGGTGTGGTCTCTGACTATTCAGAGCCTCGGGCTGACATGCGGCAGGGCCAAGCCTGCCTTGCTTGTGTTAGCCCTCAAGGGTATCTGCATTACTGTCCTCTAGCTTTACAGTGAAGACTGGAGAGGGTAAGTGCTGTTTTTCCCTCAGTATTTCAGAATGATTGAATAGAAAGATGGCAACTAAGAAATCTGATTGATGAAATATTTATTTTCTTTCATAGTATATGCAGCAGCGATGATGATCGGTAACATTTACTGTGTACTTAACAGCACTGTGCTGCCTGAAGCCTGTGACCTGTGAATGCATTTAATCCTCACAATGTCCTTGTAACGTTTTATGAGTAGGTAATTGAGGTGCAGAGCTGTTCAGTAACTTACGTAAGATGACACAACTAGTAAGTAAACTAGGATATGAAGCTAGGTGTTCTGGCTCCAGAGTCCTTCATCCTAAACAACCTTATGATCTAGCAAATCTAAGGAATCTACTTAAAAGGAATGGTACCAGAAGCCTCATTTATAATTAGCACAGTTAAATAATTACTTAAAAATTTTTAATTTAAATGTAGTTGATAAATAACACTGGTTTCAGGCATAAGGCATAATTAGATTTGACAACTGTATAGTTACTAAAAGCTCACCACGGTAAGCGCTGTTACCATCTGTCACCATATCTAGATATTACAGTATTTTTGACTATGTTCCCTATGCTGTGCTTTCATCCTTGTAACTAATTTATTTTATAACTGAAAGTTTGTACCTCTTTATCCCTTTCACCTATTTCACCCATCTCCCTACCCTCCTCCCCTATGACAAACACCAGTCTGTTCTCTATGAGTCTGTCTCTATTTTGTTGTTTTTTTTTTTTAGATTCCACCTGTAAGTGAAATAATTTATCTGTCTTTGTCTGACTTATTTCACTTAGTGTAATGTCCTCTAGGTCCGTCCATGTTATTGCAAATAGTAAGATTTCATTCTTTTTTATGACTGAGAAATATTCTATTGTATACATGTATCGCATTTTTATTCATCTATTGATGAACACTTAAGTTTCTTCTGTCTCTTGATTATCATAAATAATATTAGTAAATAATATTTAAAACAAATAGGTGTTGCTACATTTTTTGCTATTAAAAGCAATAACTCAGTGAACAGTCTCATATATACTATCTTTGCATTCTTTTGGGAGTATACCTGTAAGAAAATTCTGAATCATGGCATTTCCATTGCCCTAAAAAAATGTAGTATCAATTTACTCTCCCACCAACAGTGGGCTAGATTACTTCCTTCTCTTACCTCCGCAACATTTACAAATAGTAAGTAAGGTACACCTTACCTTCCTGCCAGTTACTAAGCTATCGCTGCTCGCAACCAGTAGGTAGAAAGCAAGCCAGGAGAGTGTGTTATTCAAATGAGAATGTTTCAGGGAGGAAGGAGTGATCAACCATGTCAAACGTAGTAACCTGAAGCCCCTGGTGAGCTTGGAGAAAGGCCCTTTGGGGCTGAAACTCAGACCTTCAAGGAAGGGGTACTGTTTGGCTGATGCTGGTGTCCTTGAATTTGGAATTGGGGCTTGTGGGCCCAAGACCTAGACCTTTGAGAGGGCGTTCTGGTTGGTGCTGGGTTGTCTCAGGGGCACACAGTGAGGCTGGTTTTTGTGAGTGTGAGAAAAAGTGCACATTGAATTCAGCTATTGCTACAGGTAGGACCTTTTGCATCTGGGGTGAAGACCTGCTGCTGGTGGCAGTCACGGGATCAGGAAGCCTACAGAACAAAGCAATTCCCTTCTTCTAGACTTCAGTCTCCCTCTAGTGCTCCCTGTTGGTGGAGGCCAACAAGTAGCTACTGGCAAAGCCTAAATGTGGTCCTAGATCCAGCATCACAGAGCAGATGATAGAGGGTCAGCCAGCATGCCTTTGTGTCTTTCTCCAGCTATCCTTAGCTATGAGTGCAAGAATGGAGTAGGCAGAGAGTTGGTTTTAACAACAGATTGTGTTTAGCTGAGTGAATGTGATACAGCTGGAGAGGGGCACTGGAGTTCAGAGCATGTGCAGGGCAGTGGTTATAATCATCGCTTATGGACTTGGGGCTGGTGAGGGGCTGTGTAAGGCCACTTGATCAGTAGATTGTAGCACCCAGTAGGGTCAAAGACTTCTTGGCATTGGAGAGAAGAGATGTTAGTGTGGAAAGGCAGGAGGTGGTTGTCGGTGAAGGGCACTTAGAATTGAGCATATGGAGAGGCTATGGTCACAGTTAATACTTCAATTCAGAGAACAGGCAAGGGAATGGAAGGCAGAGGTGGTGGGTCATGCTGGGATCTCAGAGTCCTGGAGTTCTTAGGGTGAAGCCTAAGACCTTTGAGGGAGAGGATACCAAGGAACTGAGAGGCCAGAGTACTAGATAGATTAATATATGGATATTGAAAGCACCAAAAACTACAACAAGTAAAGTCGGAGAATTGTAATGAGCCAAGAAGCTCATATTAAAATCTCCCCAAAAGGGGGTAGGCCAGGGATTGGAAGATGATTGTTGTAGATGGGCAGATGGTAGTAAAGTCTGATGTGTGTTTAAAGCTGATGGTTTTAGGAGTTTGGGAAGGAGAGTAGTCTAGAAGTAGCAATGAGGAGCAGAGAAGTTGCCTATCTCACCTCTCAGCCAGTGGTGTGAGAGCTGCAGGGGAAGGAGGGCCTTGGATGGGTACCGTGTTCCATTAGAGCAGTGTTCCTCAGCCTTTTGTCATTATTTTCTCCCCTTCGGAGCCTTAGATATTTTGTTCCTACCCTTCTCGAAAATAATAAGGAGTCAATTTTGTCAGGTAGGGTTGAGCTTTGGAGAGCCACAAAGTATTGTAAAATTTTTTTCACCCTCTCCCAAGAACCAGTTTTCATCCCCTTGGAAATAATAGCACCCCCACTGAGAATGAACATGTTAGGTTAAGTAGATGGAGAGAACTTTCAGGGAAGCAGTAGGAAATATAGGGAACTTTGCTGATGACTGACTGAGTCTAGAGGGCCCTGGGAGAAATATCGGCTGTTAGAGAGAAGAGGGAGATGGGGCAAAGAGGATGTCAGAGCTGTGTAGGGTTAGAGCCTGTGCAGTGGAGACTCCTGGGGGCCTTGGGGCCTTTTCTATGTGACTAGTAAGTAAATAAATAAGTAAAGGGCAATAATGAGATCAGCCTTTGTGATCTGAACAGCATATAGTAGCAGTGAGGCTGAGCTCCTGGGGTGGGGGTGGGGTAGGGGTGAGGGGCCTTGCCAGGTTCACTGGGTGATGGGCAGTTCTGCCTTGTGCTTTCTGGTGTCTCCAGCCTATGTTGGTGTGAGGACTGTGTGGATGGGCAGGGAGGGGCCTGAGGGAGGTGGAGCTACTAAGGCTAAGGTTGAAATGGGACGGCAAAGGCTGGGGGCACAGGCACTTTTGTGGGAGGGGGTTGTGTTCTTTTCCTTTAACTGTGTGTTAGCATTGACCTTGGGTATTACCAGAGTTAGAGGCAGATGATATAAATTGAGAACCTGGTTCTATCTTAGCTGTGTGGCCTGAGAAGAGGTTCTGAATCTAACTTTGTTAAACTATAAAAAAACAGGTTACATGGGTCCCACCCCCGTACGTGTTTTGTCTTAGTGAATCAGTTCATGCACAGTGCTTTATGCATAGTAATGTGTTGTACACATCAGAAAGGGAGCCATAAAATCTTGTCCTCCCTCCCCTTCTCCCTAATCTCCATGTTTTTTCCCCTTCTCAGATAATCTGCATATTTGTTTCACTGTCATTCTTGCTTTTTCTTCTGGTTCTACAGTGAAATATTCAATTCAGTATGGTTGGAAATGCTATTTTCCAAATCTGGGGATCCTGAAGAGGCTCGTACTAACCAGCGTCTCGCATTGTTACAAACAGAAAATGAGGGCAAGCAGCACAAAATGCAGGCAACCCTCTATGCCATGGTTGCCAGATTGTGGTATGTTTATGCCAAGGGAAACCAGGGTCTTGATGAAACACCAGGTACCCCAATCCTGTAAAATTTCTTTTGTTCTGTAATCTGCCATAAATTTGTAATAGTCAAAAGCAGGGAAGATGAAAAAGAAGCAGAGATTGTCACTTAAAATTTGAAGTTTCAACTGTTTATTGAATTTGCACTCTGTTGGAGGTGGCGTGGAGATCAGAAGGCAAATGTTCTATAGGTGTGTCTAGGCCAGTGGAGATCATTTGTTTGTGTGTGAGCTGGTCTGTTTGGACACAGCTCTGCTGTGTGCAGAATGCTTGCTGTCATGGGAGATTCCAGCCTGATTATACTCTAGTTCTTTATACCACAAGAGCACAAATAGACACAATGCAAGGAAGTTAAGGCATACACTATAGGAAGTCAGAGTGGGTGGAGGTCAGAGTTTATGGAAGAGGTGAAGTTTAAACTGGGCTTTGAGGGAAGGGTTGGTATTTCCCAGGTGACTCTAGGCAGAGGCATAAGCAAAGGCCATGAAACAGGAAAGTTCTAGTTCTTTAGGGAGCTAGACAGTGTATACATTTGGCTAGAGCTTAGGATTTGTTCATAAGGCAGAGATGACCCTGGACTTTACCATCCATCTGTTTTTACCCAGGCCTCCTTTTACTGTTTCTCTTCCTTGCTGTGGACCCTTCTTTCATAAGGTCATCTACCCAAACTATGCAGTCAGCAATAATTTGTTTTCCCATTAAATTACTCAAAGATGTCAGTCAGATCACATGGAAGAACTATTGTTTTTACAAGGGCATCTTAATTTTTTTAGCTTTAATGTGGGTCAGTGTAAAGTTTCCATGTTGACTCTTTGTAATGCTGAGTCGCGTTACCTATACAAGGCCTCTAGGGGTGTGGGGCTGCAGGTGGGAAGCTGTTGACTGGTTAGCATTTGAGGAAGGGAATGGGAGTAACAACACTGAAATTTTTAGGACAGGAAATGAGAGAGACCAGAGATAAGGGTCAGCTCAGGTGAGGGCTGTATTGGTGCCAGGGGACGGGAAGGGATAAAGTGTAGGGATGCACTAGAAGCAAAGCCCACCAGGTGGTGCAGCTGGATAAGGGGAAGGACACAGGGTGGACGTGGTGGTGATGTGCTGCTCTGGGGCTAGGAAGATGGCGAGATGGGCTTATACTGGGGAGGCAAGGGGAGAACCTCAGTTCTGGTGAGTCGTACTCAGAGCTAAGGGGGCCAGGAAAACCACCATATCTGCACCTATCCAAGGCCCCCTCTCCATAGTAGCCATGTCCTAAGATATCAACAAGGCTTGGGAACCTAGGACCCAGACCATTTCTTGTCACAGGGCCACACACTCCATCCCCAGCAAACCCTCTGAGCACAGCTTCATGCCTCATCTCGAAAGGGGGCCAGGAAGTCAGTGATGGGCGAGATCTGGCCTTTATTGCAGGGTTCTCCTAGATGCATCCTGTAAGCACTGCCACCAACCATGTGCGTGGAACACTCAATTTTGCGTTGTGCTCTTCTAAATGTTAGAGATACATCAACCCATTTACTTCTCTAAACCACAGGCAAGTGGTTTATCTGTCATTCCTTTCATCAGATGAAAAACCAAATGCACAGAAAGGCTTTTTAAATGTTCCTTAGTTAATGAAAGTGCTTGCTCCTACCCTCTTTCCACACACATGAAGTACTTTGCCCAGTCGTCGTTCTTACTTAGGCCCTGTGCCACCTTTAGGGTTGCTGTCGTGGTGCTGTACCACTTCTGCTCCTTGACCCGGCCTTGGGGACCTTTGCCTGCATCTCTTGGTTGTGTTCTTCCAAATCCTTGAAAATATTTCTGTTCAGAGGGATAATGGGATCTTGTGAACAGATCCATCACACAGGCTTTTTAAGTTAGCAGAATTTGTCATGATAAAATTCTATTAAAGATAGCCACTTAAATGGTGACTGCTGGAAAGAGACCAGCAGAGGATACTGTGTGGGTATATTGTAACAAACAGATGAGCATGGCATAAGCTTGAGCAGTATACATTTACTCATCTGACACATAGGGCCTTCCTTTTGAACTGATCTCTGTTAGGGATTTTACCTGATCAGGAAGAAAACCCCTCCCTTTTGAGCATGTATAGAGACTTTTCAGTCCAGATTTTATATTTCCTTTGGCTACATCCCATAATTGTTCAGTTGCCTCCTGGTTTTGTACTCAGGTTGATCCCATGTTTCAGAAGACTGCAGCCTCGTTTGATGAGTGCAGCCCATCCGGCGTTTTTCTGTCCACCCTAAACAGCTGTGACTATAGAAGTGAGCTGCTCTTTCCTGCTGACCTCCAAACTCTCTCCACTGAAGAACCTCTTGACTTGCCAGATTTAGGTTGGGTAGAAATGACAGATTTAAAAAGTGAGTACATATAATGTCGTTCACCAGAGCATTTCAATCATCATAAAAACCATAAAACCATGGGGTATGGTAAGCCCATCATGCTATTATGTTGCTTATTTAAATTCCCCGGAAGATTCCTCTGAAATAGCAAATTGGGCATCCTTTCAGGGGAAGCCAACTTTCTTCCTCTCTGCAGCATGAAGTGTGAAACAGTAGTAGCTGATGCTCACCACTGCCCTTGATCTGTATGTGCCTCCTCCCTCAATGTCCCTGTTAGCAGCCAATTCTCACAGTCACATATTGGATCCCTAGGCCAACCCTGGAGTGTCAGAGTTTGGACTCGAGAAAGGGACTTTAAGAGACTTTCATGGAGCCAGAGAAGCCTTGTTCTTATTAGTTACTAATACAGGAGGTCCTGAGGAGAAGAGGGCATTGTGAATTATTTCAGTCATCTGAGAATAGGCCGTTCTGTTGTCAGCCCCTTATATTGGCTTGACAAGGGCTTTAACCCTCCTAACCCATCAGGGCTCCCCTGAGAATGTTGTGACAGGCACAGGTGGATATGAAGCTCAGGCACGAGAATGCAATAGCTCCCTGTGTGTGATCATCTTTGTGTTAGGTGACATTGATCCTCCCAGTTGTGACCACATAGATGTGCTGCCCATTCTCCTTTCTATCCTTGTCTCGACTTTGCTGAGTATAACTGTTTTGTGCTAACAATCCATTTTCCAAGTTTATGCTTTCAACTGGAGCTCTAATTCTCTGAGGTAGGTAATCTGTAGCTAGTTTAGTTGGGGACTAAAATAAGTAACATTGGATGGTTGGAAGGTTTTTCATTTCCCTTCTATAGCATAGGGCACAGAGTCCATTTCAGAATCAAATGTCTCTGCTTCAGGCTTCTGCTCTAGTGTTTTACTAATCCCCAGAATGCCAGTATGGAGCCTACCTCTGCATGGATGTGCACCTGTGCATCTCCTCTCCCTAGAGAGCATCTGTGACACAGACATTGGCTGCCAGCCAGCCTCTCTGCCAGAGAACAAGAGATGATTGTCTTTCCTCCACTGTGCTGCTCTGGTCGCTGAGGGGTGAGGATTCCATCCATTTCTAACCCCTCTGCCATTTTCCTGTCCTCTCCAGCATCCTTGCAGCAGTGTGTGGAAGATTGCCAGATCTGCCCATCCCTGGCTGGGTTCCAGTTCACCAAATGGGACAGGGAAACACATAATGAGGTGTGGTGAGCTTTTGGACTTCTAAGGGCTGTGGGCATTTCTCCAGCAGCTCATGGTTTCAGTGAGATGGCCCAAGATAAGTTCTGCCCAGTGGGAACCAAAACTGTGGCATAATTTTTATTTAGCCAGGAGTACAGAAAATATTTCTTTTGGCCTTTGTGTAGGGACTAAAACCTGGGGGCTAGAAGTGGAGTTGTGCACTCCAATAGGAGCATTACGTAGCTCAGTGAATTTGTGGGTCAGCTTCATGGCCTCTTCTCTGCTTCCTGATGGTGAGGCAGCCCAGTCATTCCTGGGTGCATCTTATTTTTTTATAACATTTACTCTTGAACATCCCCGTGGCCTCTGGTCTCTTAGGCTGCTATCAAGCTCAAGGAATTTCCTGCTCCTTGGGGCTGAGTCCCTTGGCATAGAATTTCCTGAGAAATTGTCATGTGTAAAGCTTTCCTCTGTGTATTTTTAGCATGGCCCCCTTTAGCCTATTTATTACTGCTTCCAGAATAAATGGTCTCCATGGAAAACTGTTTAAACACTTAGTTAATGGATACAGATTCCTGTTTCATGTCTTACAAAACATGCCTAACGACAATACAGCTTCATCCTGTGCCACACAGTGTAAACTTCCTCAACGCTCTACTGTCGTGAGAACACGGGCTCTGGGGAAGTGGGGAGGAGAAGGCTGGAAACTGGAATTTAGGGAGGAGAAGGCACACCCCGGGCAGCTGCTCCTCCAACAGTGACAGTGCTCATGGGAATGAAAACTAGAGAACCCTCTCTCCTCCCCCTCCAGTCTGTGTCAGCCCTGGTGGACAAGTTTAAGAAGAATGATCAGGTATTTGACATCAACGCTGAGGTAGAGGACAGTGACAGTGGGGACTTCCTTGATGGACCCCTGGAGGACGACTTTGATGCCAGTGAGGAACCGGACCGTACCACAGCTGGGGATCACGCAGAGTTCAGGAGCCAGAACCAGCCGTGCCACGTCCACAGCTGCCAGTAAGGCTCCGAATGGTGGAAAATGTTCCCATAGGAGTTTTCCATCAGTCCCATCAGATTTCTTGCTGGGACAATCTGATTTCATCTCTGATTGGCTGGGCTGGTTTGCCCTGTCATGCATAGTGGCAGAGCCATCCTGACTTGGTGGAGTCACACCTGCCTTTGAAAGCTGGTTCAGCCACTTACTGGTTATAAAACTGGCATTGTAGGAGTTTGTGAGGATGGAACTAAAATATGTCAAGTGCTGAAAAAAAGCAGCTACCTCGGCAGTGGCTGTTACTGCTCACACCTTGGTAGCATGGAGCACACTCCTTCTCTACGCACTGCAGGCATCTGGCTTTGGCTGAATCGCTCCATATCTATTAGGGGTAGAAACAAGCTAACATGTTGTTTATGGGAAAAAGGTGGCCCTGTGTTACCAGAAAGGCAGACTGGCCATGAGCAAAGCGGGGGAAACAATAAGTAGATAAAATTGAGTTTATTGGTCAGGAGGAGAGCTGGTAGGGCTGGTCTGCAGTAAATGAAATTTTGTATTGCTCTAGTAAGCATATAAGAAGACCCAGCTTTGTTGTCCGTCATGATATGTGCTTAACAGATTAGTATTTGAATTTTGAATACGATTTGAAAGCAGGATCTCACATACCTGTAGTGCTGAGGGCCTCTAAAGGTTCTGAATGGGCCTGTGTGTAGGAGATGACACAAGATGAGAATCAACAGTCTCTCTGATAACTCCTGTGCTGGTAACAGCCTTGCAAGCCTGACATTGTGGGCAGCCAAGCTGGTTGAGTAGGGGCAATACCTTAAAAGTTGTCCAGTATCATTTCCCATTGAGGTAAAAGTCCCTTCAAGAGCTTTGCTTGATTGTCTCCAGGATAAGAGATTGCTTTCTTGAGCTCGGTTTGTTTGCCCATGTGGGAAATGATTAGATTGATGATACAGCTTCAAACTGTAGAAATTGAGGAGCTAATTAAGCATTTGGTACCTTGAGGTAAAAATTACCCATGTAGGCCCTTACACTGTCCTCTCCTGATTGATACTGTTAATACGCCTATGATTTGCCTCTGCTCCCATCCTATCTTCTACAAAGTGAGAAATGGTAGGCAGGTTGGTGGGATGAGCTCTTTTAATATCATCTTCAAATGTCAGAGAAGAACTATTTTCCTAAACAACGTGGTGACATCTGAGGAACTGATGTCACAGAGGGCTTTAGTCACTTGCATTTTGTTATAACCATAGATGGTTTGTTTTGAAGAAGTTTTGAACAACTAACTTAATTTTTCTCCCCAGTTTCAAACAGAACAGAATATTAGAATCCACCTTCCCAGGTGCTTTCAGGGCAGGGGGCTTAGCTTCCAGTCTAAGGTTTTGTCTTGAAATTCCCTGTCCCTGGCATGGTGCTGGCCTTTCCTGAGAGCTCAGTAAATCTTTGAACTGAACAGACTAGATTCTGCCATAGATAGCTGTGATATGTGGGGAAGTAGTGTCACCTTTTTTGGCCTGTGTTTCCTCGTCCATTAAATGAAGGGTTGGGATTAGATAATAGTAATGTTTGATATTTATTGAGCTCCTTATTTTTCTCTTTGTGCTGGACACTATGCCAAGTGCCCTACCTGCATTATTTAGCATAATTTACACAATATATAAAATGAAATTACTTTATCCTTGGCAACAGCCTTTATTTAGGTCCTATTATCCTCATTTTATGGATGAGGAAACAGGCTCAGAGAAATTAAGTAATGAGGTGGAACTGGATATAGCCCAGCACCTTTGCCAGTTCTGGCTGCAGGTAATGAGCTTTGGCTAGCAGTCTCCACCCCAGAGCATTTAACTGAGAATCTTAGAGGCCAGGCATTGCATCACTGTTTCTCCAAATCTCCCCCAGTGATGGTGCTGTGCACCCAGGGTTGCAAACACGTACTATAATGAAAGGTCTTCTCTAGCTCAGGGTGGAGTAGAGGCAATGATGAATTATAGATACCAACCTTATTTGTCCTTGAATGGCAAATCGGGTCTTGAAGAAAGCCCCCTCACACATTCTGGTACATCGCAGAAAGGATGAAAAACCAGTCCAGACAATGGCACAGCATACATTGACAAGGATGGGACTGATAAAGTACTTGGGTCTAAGAGCAGCCTGGACCCACTCCCTCTGCCTGCACCCATATGTTCTCGAGCTGATCTCTGTGGTGCAGGCGCTTGCTGTGGTTAAAGACCTAGTCTTTGGTCTTAAGACGCCAGCTCTATACATGCAAGTATGAGGCACTCTGCTGCATGCTGAATGATAGGCAGGAACCAGCTGGGAGGAGACCTTCCACCTGCAGGTAGTAGTGAACTGGTGCTGAGTTGGAGGAGAGGCCCTGTAGTTGGGGTAGGGGAGTAGGAGAAAGAAAGAGATCCTCTAGAGGGGTTAGACGAGTTTGATGGGGTTCAGGCCTTGAAAAATGGATAGACAGTGGATTAGCTTGGTTGTTGAGGGGGAGGTTGGGACTAGTAGGGTTCCTGCCACATAGCATTGTGTATTGCAAGAATTATTAAATGGCTAGTGTTTAAGCCTCCAGGGCCTTAGTCCAGCCATGGCTCACAGACTCAGGGAATAGAACCAGGCTCTTTATACCTTTGCCTATAAGTTCCCAGCCCAACTTTAACAGAAGAATATCAATAAGAATTGAGTGGGGATACTACTGAAGCCATCTTCTTCCTCCCTCTGGAGTTCACAGTGCAGTACAGTTGTTAGTTAATAGACTGGGCATTCTACAGACTAAAATGTGAATTTTTCAGTACTTTTAAGATTTTAAATTAAATTTTAATAAATACACAAATATAATTTCCTGGTTTTTAGAAAAAGATTCTGTAGATAGAGGCAGTCTCCTTTAAAAGCTTTTTTAGCTTATTCTGTCAGATTGCTATAAAGAGGGTTTATATATGTGGCTCAGTACATCATTTGAGGGACGTAAATTGGAATAACACCTTACTCACTTTTAGTAGGAATGATGACAGTGTTCTTGGAGCCCTCATTTATGGAAGGATAAGGAGAATGAATGAGAGATTATTATCTTGTGTGGCAGGAAACCTTGTATGTATGTGGAAAGATCCTGAGGCTGGAATTCAGAGACTCGTAGTTGGAATGCCAACTACTCCCAGCTCTGGCATTTTACTGGCTGTGCAGTCATATAAAAACTTAATTTTTCCCTACTGCTGTTTTCTTGTCTCAGAGTGGAACACTTGGACTTTATGAAGTGCTTTGATGCCTCCTTATATTGTTGTAAAATTAAGAGAAGCAGAAGTACTTTGATGAAGTAAAAATGAAAGGATTATTAATGATGAAATATTTATATTAGACTTACTCTTAGAAATGTGGCTCATTTGTGGGTAGAGTCTTCAGGTGCATCACATGTTGCTTTACACGTAAACACATGATTGTATTGTGTATGTTGATATGTATGTGATTATACATGTAAAAATGATTTCATGTGTGTTACAGGGAAGAAATGATTCCTCTCGGAGACATTAGGACTATGTGTCCCCTTCTATCCATGAAACCTGGAGAATATTCCTATTTTAGTCCCCGTACCATGTCAATGTGGGCTGGCCCGGATCACTGGCGCTTTAGACCCCAACACAAACGTATGTACTTCTACGTGGAACTTGGAGAGCAGAGATGACCATCTAGTCAGCATTTCAGTCAAGGAAGGGAATGGCAGCCTCTGGCTTGGGTGTGCCCCAGTAGGTTACAGAAGTATACAGATATGCCAACCTGCTGGCCAGACAGTTAGTGGATCTGGCCTGGGATGAGGGGTCATTTAAGATTGAGACTCTGAGTGAGAAGAGTGAATGCCTAGAGTCAGGAGAGCTGGGCTTGTGACCTTCTACTACTGCCTAGTTGTCTAGTACCCATGTGACTTCAAGCAGTGGCCACAGGTAAGAAAGACCACTGGGCTCATGCAGCTACACTCTGTATAAAACCAAAGTCCTGTGCCAGCATTCTGTGTTTATATTCTCTCTTTGAAAAGTAGGGATTAATTAGCATATTTTTAATCATGTTTTAGCAAAAACGCAAATTTTGAGTGAAGAATAAAAATTAGGTGTCTGGATTGCCTTTCCTAATGCTGTTAATGATGCTGAGACCCAAATGCTATCTTGTGGTTGATAAGGCTGTCAGTGCATCTTGCAAAATGAGTATATATTTTGTCCACAGAAGTGAAGTGTTGACATCTATATTCATTTCTGCAGAAGATGCTTCCTCACAATCAGGGAACAAAAGGAGGACCACAAAGAAAGATTTTGAAATTGACTTTGATGATGATATTGACTTTCATGTATATTTTCAAAAAACAAAGGTTTGTGCTACATTTATTAACACTTGTGCTTCCTTAAGTTATCTTCATCTCTCTTCCCCTTTCACATATGATTTTTAAAACTTGATTATAAATTCAGACTTAGGGTAAATAGATGGTTTCATTTTCCCTCAATCCCTAGAAGAATTGAAAAATAGTGCCAAACTCAGTGGCAGAGAGAATTCAAGTTTAGACTATGGAGAATGTCTAGCAAAATCACTGTTTTACGCAGAGCTAGGAAGTGATGATAGACTAGTGCTGCCCAAACCTTTCCTAAGCTCCTAAAAAAAAATATTTTAACCATTCTTCAAGATGCCTAAACCACTTTTTAAAAAAAAAATTAATAGGCTGCCACTGTTCTGACCAAGTCTACTTTGGAGAGCCAGCATTGGAAAGCCACCACCCTTCCTACGGATTTCCACTATGAGACTGATAACCTTGTCCAGCTGCATCTCAAACCAGGCACCAGGGTAAGATTGTTCATGGTTCCTTCCCGCTGCTGCTGTTCCTGAACCTGGTGATGGTGTTGGAGGGGTCAGGTGCTCCTTTGGGGAAGAGCCGAGTGTGAACAGGAATGTGTGTCAGCCAGGGGACATTACAGGGAGATGAAACGGATAGGGCTGAGCTGGAGGATTGGGGGGAGCTTACAGGATGGATGCCCACTGGAGATCCAGAAGTACCTCACCTGGTGAGAACGCTGGATGGACACTGAGGCCTGCGTGCTGAAATGCTAGGGGGATAAACAAAATCTTGTGTTTAGGTTGAGGTTTCTATAGGAGGTTAGTTATTTCTTGATTCTTTCACTTTCTCATAGACATTGTAGGTTCACTAGCCAGATGCTTTCCCAGACCACGTTGCCTCCCTTGGGTCAAGGTGTAGACAGGAGCCCACTGTGGCCTGAGGGAATGCAGATGCCAAGCATCTGAGTGTGCCTGCCTCTTAAGCTTTCTGGCCCACACAGTGTGCAGTAGAGATGAACAGCAGGCCACTGGCGCTGCACCTAGTCACTGATATACTGAATATCTGCCTGAACAACATCCTCCGAAATAACTAATGGATCAATGACCAAATAAAACAGAGATAAAGCAATATATAGAGACAAATGACAATAATTCAACAACACAAAATCTGTGGGATGCAGCGAAGGTGGTGCTAAGAGGGAAGTATATTGCTATAGGCCTACCTCAGGAAAGAAAAATCCCATATGAACAGTCTAAACTCACAATTAATAAAACTAGAAAAACAAGAACAAATGAGCCCCAAGTCAGTAGGAGGGACATAATAAAGATTAGAGCAGAAATAAATAAAATCGAGAAGAATAAAACAATAGAAAGAATCAATGAAAGCAGGAGCTGTCCTTTGAGAAAATAAACAAAATAGATAAACCCCTAGCCAGACATATCAAGAAAAAAAGAAAGTCTACACACACAATCAGAAATGAGAATGGAAAAATCACTACGGACACCACAGAAATACAAAGAATTATTAGAGAATACTATGAAACATTTAGTGAAGATCTAATACACACCCTCCTTAAAATTTTCCAAAAAGTACAAGAGAAAGGAATACTTCTAAACTTATTTAATGAGGCCAGCATCACCCTAATATCAAACCCAGGCAAAGACACCACACAAAAAAATTATAGACCATTATCCCTGATGAACATAGATGCAAAAATACTCAACAAAATATTGGCAAACCAAATTCAAAAATACATCCAAAAGGTCATCCATCATGATCAAGTAGATTTATTCCAGAGATGCAAGGATGATACTGTTAGAAAATCCATCAACATCATCCACCACATCAACAAAAAGAAGACATCAACAAAAAGGACAAAAACCACATGATCATCTCCATAGATGCAGAAAAAGCATTCGACAGAATTCAACATACATTCATGTTAAAAACTCAATAAAATGGGTTCAGATGGCTAGGACCTCAACATAATAAAGGCCATATATGACAAACACACAGCCAACATAATACTTAACAGCAAGAAGCTGAAACCTTTCCTCTAAGATCAGGAACAAGACAGGGATGCCCACTCTCCCCACTGTTATTCAACATGGTACTGGAGGTCCTAGCCATGGCAATCAGACAAGACAAAGAAATACAAGGCATCCAGATTGGTAAAGAAGAAATTAAACTGTCACTGTTTGTGTATGACATGATATTGTACATTAAAAACCGTAAAGAATCCACTCCAAAACCACTAGGTCTAATATCTGAATTCAGTACCGTTGCAGGATGCAAAACTAATACAGAGAAATTGGTTGTACTCCTACAGGATAATGATGAGCTAAAAGAAAGAGAAATCAGGAAAACAATTCCATTCACAACTGCATCAAAAAGAATAAAATACCTAGGAGTAAACCTAACGAAGGAAGTGAAAGATCTACCTATACACTGAAAACTGCAAGACACTAATGAGAGAAATTTAAAAAGATGCCAATAAATGGAAACACGTCCCATGCTCATGAATAGGAAGTAATTAATATTGTCAAAATGGCCATCCTGCCTAAAGCAATCTACAGATTCAAAGCAATCCCTATCAAAATACCAACAGCATTCTTCAATGAACTAGAGAAATAATTATAAAATTCATATGGAACCACAAAAGACCCTGAAGAGCCAAAGCAGCCCTGAGAAGGAAGAATAAAGCTGGGGGGATTATGCTCCCTGCATTCTAGCTCTACTACACAGCCACAGTAATCAAGACAGTTTGGTACTGGCACAAAAATAGACCCATAGACCAATGGAACAGACTAGAGAGCCCAGATATAAACCCAAGCATATATGATCAATTAATATACGATAAAGGAGCCATGGACATACAGTGGGGAAATGACAAACTCAACAGCTTGTGTTGGCAAAACTGAACAGCTACATGCAAGAGAATGAAACTGGATTATTGTGTATCCCCATACACAAAAGTAAACTTGAAATGGATCAAAGACCTGAATGTAAGTCATGAAACTACAAAACTCTTAGAAGATAACATAGGCAAAAATCTCTTGAATTATAAACATGAGCAACTTTCTTCTGAATACATCTTGATGAAGGGAAACAAAAGCAAAAATGAACACATGGGTCTACATCAAACTTAAAAGCTTCTGTACCTCAAAAGACACCATCAGCAGAACAAAAAGGCATCCTACAGTATGGGATAATATATTTGTAAACGACATATCTGACAAGGGGTTAACATCCAAAATATATAAAGAACTCAACATGCCTCAACACCCAAAAAGCAAATAACCCGATTAAAAAATGGGTGAAGGCTGTTTACAATAGCCAAGAAATAGAAGTAACCTAACTGTCCATCAGTAGATGAATGGATAAAGATGTGGTACATATACAATGGAATATTATTCAGCCATGAGAAGTAAACATCCTACCATTTGCAACAACATGGATGGAGCTAGGGGGTATTATGCTCAGTGAAATAACCCAGGCAGAGAAAGACAAGTATCAAATGATTTCACTCATATGTGGGGTATAAGAACAATGAAAAAACTGAAGGAGCAAAACAGCAGCAGACTCACAGAACCCAAGAATGGATTAACAGTTAACAAAGGAAAAGGAACTGGGGAGGATGGGTGGGAAGGAAGGGATTAAGGGGGGGTGGGGAAAAAAGGGGGCATTATGATTAGCATATATAATGTTGGGTGGGCACAGGGAGGGCTGTACAACACAGAGAAGACAAGTAGTGATTCTACAGCATCTTACTACACTGATGGGCAGTGACTGCAACGGGGTATGGGGGGGGACATAACAGGGGTAAATGTAGTAACCACATTGTTTTTTCATGTGAAACCTTCATAAGAGTGTATATCAAAAATACCTTAGTAAAAAAAAAATAAATAAATAAATAATAGATACACAGTGAAACATTAGTAGAAACTGGCTGTGGTCAATGTTGGGTAGATGCTAGCAGCAACTTGCTCTACTCTGAAAATGGAGCCCTGAGGCAGAAGAGCAGGACAGTTGCTTGTACCAACCCTTGCCCAGCCTGGAGCCGCTTACTGTGGGCAAGCTACCCTCTCCTCCCTCAAGCCGGCACGGTGAGCTTTTAAGAATGTGGCCTTAGGTGGAAATTTGCATATACACTTCTTAAGATGATAGAACAAAGTCACTGGGTCATTGCACTCCACATGCACTTTGTTTTTTTGTAATTGTTTCTTTTTTCTTTTTCACTGTTTTTCCACTTCAGTTCCTTCTGAATATTATGTAGAATAACAATTAAAAATATATTTGTGGCATTTAGTAGTAAAGCACTTTTTGTGATGTAAATGTTTCCTTGGTTTATTCCTTACAATTTGTTTTTTTTTCTTTTCCGTCTTTATTAAGATATCATTGATATGCAATCTTACACTCAGATTTTGCATGAGCAACATTGTGGTTGTTTCATTCCCCCCTTTTAGCAAGTCCCCACCACAAGTCACTACTTGTCTTCTTTCTGCTATACTGCCTTACTTGTGCCATACCTATATTATGTGGGCTAAACATAACACCTCTTAATCCCCTTATTCCTCCCTTTCTACCCACCCTCCCTAACCCCTTTCCTTTTGGTAACCGCTAGTCCATTTTTAGGTTCTGTGAGTCTGCTGCAGTTTTTTTTTTTCTGCTTTATTCTTATACTCCACAAATGAGTGAAGTCATTTGGTACTTGTCTTTCTCCACCTGGCTTATTTCACTGAGCATAATACCCTTGAGCTCCATTCATATTGTTGCAAATGGTAGGATTTGTTTTCTTATGGCTGAATAATATTCCATTGTGTATACATATGTACCACATCTTCTTTATCCATTCATCTACTGATGGACACTTAGGTTGCTTCCATATCTTGGTTATTGTAAATACTGCTGTGATGAACATATGGGTGCATATGTCTTTTTGAATCTGGGATCCTGTATTCTTAAGGTAAATTCCTAGGAGTGAAATTCCTGGGTGAAACAGTATTTCTATTTTTAGTTTTTTGAGGAACCTCCATACTGCTTTCCACAATGGTTGAACTAATTTACATTCCCACCAGCAGTGTAGGATGGTTCCTCTTTGTCCACATCCTCACCAACATTTGTTGTTCCTAATCTTTTCGATGGTGGCCATCCTAACTGACGTGAGGTGATATCTCATTGTGGTTTTAATTTGCATTTCCCTAATAATTAGTGATGTGGAGTATCTTTTCATGTGCCTGTTGGCCATCTGAATTTCTTCTTTGGAGAAGTGTCTGTTCAGATCCTGCACCCATTTTTTAATGGGGTTATTTGCTTTGTGGGTATTGAGGTGTGTGAGTTCTTTATATATTTTGGATGTTAACCCCTTTTTGGATATGTCATTTACAAATATATTCTCCCATACTGTAGGATGCCTTTTTGTTCTGCTGATGGTGTCCTTTACTATACAGAAGCTTTTTAGCATGATGTAGTCCCATTTATTCATTTTTTATTTTCTTTCCCTTGCCCA